AACGTAAAGGTTTATTACTAGATATTAGATTATTTAATAGAAAAGAGGGGTTTTAATGTTGCATGAAAGTTCCCACTGTAAAATGTCCAACCCAGAACAAGAAAGTCATCATTACGAAAAATAGTAAATTATACAAGAAATATCATGGATGAAAACGTTTCAAGAGCAAAAATAATTTTATTAGATACCACTGAACAGAAAAAAGCATAAACTCAAGAATTTTTTTTTTTACAAATGTCTGCATCCTAAACCACTGTGCACGATGTCATTCCACTGGAGAGTGAGGCCTTGGATGAAGTTGGCTAACAGGTTGGCATTCTTGATGTGATGTTTGATATTGCCCACCAAGGAGTGCAATATCTTGGCAAGATGTTTGGCCGTGTTGTAGGTAAGGTGTCCTCTTGAAGTGACAATGTAGGGTGTAGTGGAGTACCTGTCTTGTGGATCTTGGGTTGGCTGAAGAACCTTGGGCACTTGGAGTTGGATGGCCAGAACTGTCTGTAGGCCCACAAGGGCTGAGAGATGTTGCTGGAATGCTGGAGGGAGAGGAGCTTGTCTTGGAGCTTCCTCCCGATGAAAGGTGTGGGCTCTTTCTGGAGTGAACGGTAGCAGCCCGAGTTGAGGACGTTTGTCTTTTTGCGGTCATACTTGGAGCAAATCAAAACGATTGGGACTAATATTTATGATGGCACACAGGGTCTCACCTTACGTGAGCACTGGACAAAGTCCAAACAGAACGATGCTTAGTAGAGAGACTGATCTTCCTATTAACCTCAACTATGGTTTGAAATGGGAAGAGGCATTGGTTTTGAAAAGAGAGCATTTTCTAAACTAAGAATTTATCACTTCTATTTCATCAGTTATACTTTAAATAATTTAGCTAATGAAGCAAAAGACATTGTCATTTCAAGTGTGTCAGTCTTGTAAAGTCAACCAGTTATTTGTTGTAAACAAAACAACCGAAGATTCTGAAAGTGACTTTCATCTTCAGGCCTCTTTGCTTAAATTCAGGGTTTATTTAAACTGTACCCTTCTTAACCACTTCATGCC